ATTCAATTACGAACGCTTTTACTTTATTCTTAAACATGATCTTTCTTAACAAACAAGTATTGTTCCATCGAACTAATCCGTTCGTAATAGAGCTTTATTTCATTATAGCTTTCATTATCGCAGCGGAAGTCTTACAGTTAACCAGCTTCCATATCGCTACGTTTATATCGTTCTGCGATAATTGCTTCAGAACGATATTGCAATTATTATCCTTTCATTCGAACTGGTCGTTTTCAGCATTGAATCGCTTGCGATAAGTCTAACAAGGTTTCGTTATGCGTTAGATTTCATATACCGAGGTTGATCGTCGTCGATAAATACGGACATAAAGTAGTATAATCACATGTTGAGATCTAATTGGCAAGCACGCGTGCTAAATGTCACCAATTGGGGAGTTCTGAGACAGGTTCTGAACCTGAGACAGGTCCCGAACTCAGATACAACAGATTTACTATTACCCCTTCGACTACACTCTTTACTGCTTTTAAAAATCTGTTAATGCCATCTTCAGCCTCTTTGGCGCTGATATTGGGAGGAAGTAATTTATAGTCTCGTATATGCTGGTAGTCAATAACAGCAATTGGCGCTTCTCAAGAGCCTCTTTCACTACAGTATTCATAAATCTGGATGGAGCCTACCCCAATCGTTAACCAAGTCCGCGGATGTCTACCGCCATAGATGACGGTAAAAATGACGGAAATTTGGGTTTCAAGAGCGAAAAAATATGAATTGATCTATATATTGAGAAGAAATAAATAAGGATATGAGAAGAAAGCGCAAAATATAAATGCGTACAAAGTATTAGTATCGTATGTGATGCACCACCTTTCATTGACATTATCGATTTTTTCTTCTTCGAATGCTTATATTTCGCTTTGGCGGCAGTACATGCCACAGCATTATCAGTATATGTCCCACCCTGTTAAACTCGAGCATAAATAAAACACTCGCTCCTTTTTACCATGCTTCCAGGCAGTTGGGGATCCATTAATTCCTTCTTAGACACTCAAAGTCCACTAGCGATGCCCTTAGCCATAACCTGAATATCAGGTACAACTTCATAGCGCTCAATTGCAAACATCTTTCCTATTCTACCGAATCCAGACTAAGTTTGCGATCACACAGATTGCGTAGCTTCTTGAAGAAACCATTAGGCGGTGGAACATATCCTTCTTTGCAGAATACGAGCTCAATTAGAATAGCAGCAGTGTATTGTGGTGCCGTTTGTTGTCTGAGAACGAGTTGAACTTTAGATTTAGAGATAATAATATTTTCAGAAATAATCACCATTTGTGAATATAAACAATGGCGGATAGCGAGGGTTCTATTGCCACTGGTCTGTAAGATAATGCCTTTGTGCTTCAAGTGGGAACACTAGTTCCACACTCATGTCATGTCTGGATGAACAATTTCCAATAATTTTGTCTTGTAGCATAAGCTACTAATGAATGAAACGTCTTCGCTTTTCACTCACTCTAGTACAAGGCGAACTCGATAAGCCGAAGGTCGTGGAAAGAGACAATTTACTCGGCTTATCGATATCCGTTTTTCAAGCTTTGACTGTAGGAGTGAGCTTGCTTCCACAGGCGCAAAAAGAAAATTATTGTGCTTTAATTGGGTTTGGCTAATTCTTGCGCGTAAAGGTGGAAAGCGAAGATAAAAAGTCAAACTATTTAATACAACACAAACACCATGTGAGTTTATTCACTTCATAATGTAAATCTAAAAGCTCAGCTCGACCGTAAAAATCCTTATTACTATTACTATTATGCTATCTGCACTTTAGCCATTAGTAAAAAAAACCAAACAGGCTGATATGTATGACATGTTAAAATAAATAAATATATATATATTATCTATGTTAGAGTCCTCCTATTATTAGACGTTTTTTTTCCACGTTATTCAAGATATAATGAGCCAAAGATCTCAACAACTGATGAGTTGTTGAAGTGTAATAGATTTTTAAAGACAGGCACTCTATTTGGTGTTATTTCCAGACATCATTTTTAAGGCTATTCTCACTATGTTATTGTCACTTAGTTTATTAAGATGAGTATTTTGTCTAGTATTTACAGTTTAATAAACCATATTTTACAACGAAAGAATGTTTATGTGACAAGTAATGTATATGTAAATTAAAATGTCGAATAATTTATTTTAAATTTACTTTATGCCAAAGACAATGCAAGGCTAATGTTAAGCAATTTGAGACATCTTTTTATAACCCATCTATTAGTATTACCATTAATAGGCAATTGATAATACTAAATCGCAGTTCTTTTGTGACTTACATTGACAACAACAGATAATCAGATTTGGGATAAATCTGGTATCATGGATCTGAGGTTTCCGACAAACTATATATGTTTGGGGTATATACTCAGTAATACTGTATGAAGGTACAAGGTTAGCAGAGCTGGCCTTAGTATTAGGCACAGATACTGAACAACCGCGTCGAATGATAACGGAAAATCAACGCGGCATAAGCATTGTTATAATAATTAGACTTATTTTCACAATTCGGCGTTCTTTGCTGATTCTACAAACTCGATATTTTATTTCCACACGCCAAAAAGGTTATTTTTGCGCTTTTTCAAAAAATTAGAAAAATATAAATTTAGCAGGTCACTGACATCTACGATAATTTGATTCATATCAAAAAATTTTATTTACCACATGGAGGGAATATCATTGTAAAGATACTCTCGCTTTTTATCCAAAGGAGGAGTTAGTGTTAAAATGGATAATAGTTAATTTCTTTCAGCTAATTGATAATTTTTTCTTAGATAGCGATATTAAATAATTATCGTAATAATAAATCGAACGTATGTACCTTTTAAGGTCTGTAGGTATAAAGTTTAATGACATAATTACTAAAGAATTAATGATAACCGCTGTGCAGCGTATTATAAATAATTTCACTTACTTCCAGAAAAATTCTCTGCATTAAACAAATTCTTGGAGTGCTAATTGACTTCCTTGTTACTAGATACATGGATTAAGGCTATAAAGTCTGAAACTTATCGGGAAACAGAATTTATCGCCTAATATTTGACGTATAAAATAATTATAGTATGTGATAACAAGACCGGGTTGTATTCAATATTTTCATTTAACAGAGTAAGATTTAAAATATATATAAGTTGTCGGAGGTAAGGTCGTTGCTTATTCCAAGATAAGGAATTTTTCTCTCCGAAGAAATATTATGATATTGGCAAGGCGACGCGCTAACAACCCCGGTACCCACGCCCACTTTGATGCCCACGGTGTATTCCTTCTTGACTTAACCTGTAGAATATTGGACTGTCTCATATATTAGCTTGAATTCTCTTGAGTTAGTGCATAAATCACCAAAATTTAATAAAAAAATAATGAATTTTAAAATTCGCACAGAATGACCAACGAAATATATTACACCATGGCTTTGAATCCGACGCTATTTCGGCTATTTGAGTTGCAATTATCACAAAGTCGCGAAATGCAAACTAATGACAAAGCCAAAGCTCATGGACTATGACATTTGTTATGCTTATCGCTTAACGATCACAAATATGGACTCAAATAGTTGTGGTTGCTTTATACCGAGAATGCAACCTGACGTAGGCAACTTGTGATATTCTTTCTGTGACGCAATTATTATGTTCATTTTTGTTGCAGCATATAATTTCATTCGTTTGATAAGTCAAATGTTATTATTTTATTATTATTATGTGTGATCGACATCACATTGTGTGACGTTTGCTGACCCGAGTGTAACTTCCAGAAGGCTTATCGAACAAAAAATACTTTATCGTAATTCGATGACGTATTAGTGATGAGGTAAGCTTAAGTTTGCGAATATCGCTATCGCCATTTTCTTCAAGTAACGAAAAAAAGGGACAACGGCGACAAAGCTTTTGCTTAATAGCTTTTTATCATATCGTCATTGAATATTATCTAATAATTTAAACAATCCTTTTCCCCCCTCGTCTTCCTATCCTCTCTATTTTCCTTCCAATAAAAGTCTTTGAATAAAATCGGTCAACATTGACTTCACAAACTCAGAGTATCTTCTACAAGCATTCCTGTTCGTTTGCTTTTTTGTAGCTTTAGCAATTCTTACACGTACTATTCCTGCAGACTATAACATGGTAATTAGTTGTTTCGAAATTGGTCTTCATTGAATGACAGTTGAGCTGCGTGCTAGTGAAGAGGAAGAGTTTTAGATGTTGATCCGTTTATTGTTACATTGCGCGTGTCATATCTTATCTGATATCGATGCGTAACGATACCAAAGAAGACTGCGCAAAGAGGGCTTGATTTTCTAGTTTATAACTGACCGATCGTGTATGCTCGTTGGTAGGCTGATGACTCAATGGAAGAAATTGAAACACATGTCGACCAGGATAGGCAAATGTCTGACGTTGAGGAGATTTCTCCCAATGTAACAGATTGTATGTGTTGGTTTATATCAAGCGAAGTCTTGTTTGATGAGATATGCTGTTAATTGTTTTTGTATCTGTGTTTACCATTATTAAATTTCATATATCTGTTGCGTTGATGCGATATTCGTATTAATAAACACTTGCCATGTTGTAACCTTTATAGTTGAAGCTTTCGCGAATAAAATTATGCCTAACCTCGGTTATGACGTTGAAGACTTCAAATGGCATACTTGGCATGTGACTGGGTGGAAATCACTCGATAAGAGAATAACGGGACCTGAATTTGAAGCTGGAGGGTGGAAATGGTACGATTATATATCATTGAAGTAGAACTGTGATAAAATATAATAATATATAATATCTTATTGTACATATCACATATTATATATCTATATAATAACATAAGCTTTAATTCTCTGCTTAATTTCTTTGTGATCAAAGTACTAATTTACGCTGTTCGATTGCAGGCGTATTCTATTGTTTCCATTTGGCAATAATAATACTGAAACTGTATCAATATATCTCGACTTCGCTGATCCTAAAGATGCACAACCGGGTTGGCATGCATGTGTGCAATTTGCTTTGGTGTTATGGAACCCCGAAGATCCAACACATCAAATTCATCACAGTAGGTTTATACCTTTGAACCTCTGGGTTTTACTGCTGATCGCTTTTTCGTTCTTATATTAATTACGACTATGCCTCAATTCCGTTTGCAAGATGCTCAGCACAGGTTTACCACGGAGGAATCAGATTGGGGGTTCACGCGTTTCTATGAGTTACGCAAGCTTTTTGCTCCTTGCGATAGGCGAACGCGTCCTCTGATCGAAGGTGAAGCGGCAAATATAACTGCCTTTGTGCGAGTTTTGAAGGACCCGACAGGCGTACTGTGGCACAATTTTATCAAGTAAATATACGTTCCACATGCTAAACGCCTATATGTAAAGCTGTATATAGTAACTAATACTCTTTAATCTCACATACTAAATTAGTTACGATTCGAAGAAAGAAACTGGTTACGTTGGGTTAAAAAATCAAGGCGCTACTTGTTATATGAACTCTTTGTTACAGTCACTTTACTGTACTAATTATTTCCGAAAGGTCAGTTCGTTAATGCCTTTAGAAAGTAAAGAATATATTTTGGTTCTCTATTCATGTAGCAGTCAAGATGTACAAGTGAATAACAAATACTTTGCTAACATGAGTTTGATAACAACGAAAGGCCCAATTAATTTTTATGATATCTACAATCAGTATTCCTATTTAAGTCCGCATATTACAGTATCCAGTGCACAAATAAATGCCATAATATGGAGGCTTATTTGGGAAACACATTCACGGTTATTCATGTCTAACGATTACTATATTTCGTTACACTATAATTTCTATAGGCCGTGTATCAAATCCCAACCGAAACTGACGAGCCCACCAAGAGCGTAGCGCTTGCTTTGCAGCGTGTTTTTTATCAACTACAAACATCAGACACTCCGATCGGCACTACAGAACTTACAAAGTCGTTCGGCTGGGATTCCTACGAATCCTTCATGCAGCATGATGTCCAAGAGTTTAATCGAGTACTCCAAGATAATCTTGAGGGGAAAATGAAGGTTAGGCCGAAACTCTGAGAATATCAGCTTATCTATCGGTTGAATTTTGGAATATAATGGATTTAAGATGAGCTTGGTTGACTGATTCGTCTATTATTATTGAAGAATACTAAAGCAGATGGCGCCATAAGTAAACTGTTCCTTGGGAGAATGAGAAGCTATGTAAAATGTGTGCACGTTCCTTATCAATCATCACGTGTAGAAGATTATTGTGGTATGTATAAATATTTCGATCACTAGCCTAGTTATAACCACGAGCCGGTACACTGACTGGCTGTCATTCTCATTATTAGATATACAGCTAAATGTCAAGGGATGCAAGACGTTGAGAGACTCGTTTAAAGATTACGTTCAAGAAGAGACTCTTGATGGTGAGAACAAATACAAGGCTGAAGGATATGATGAGTTACAAGTAAGGTTAACCGGTCCATTTATACTAGATAATGTTAGTTGACTGTCCACTGAAAATATTTATTATGCTGCGCATATTGTAGGAGGCGAAGAAAGGCGTTATATTTGACGAGTTTCCTCCAGTATTACATCTCCAATTGAAACGGTTTGAATACGATATACAAAAGGATGCAATGATTAAGGTAATAAAACCTGTTTAGTTAGTATTGATTTGCAATATGCTCTACAGATTTTTCGTTCGGCTTTTAATTCTTACTCTCTTATTCTACAGATTAATGATCGGCATGAATTTCCGATGGAAATCGATTTAGAGGAGTTTTTATCCCCAGAGGCTGATAGATCACAGCCCCATAAGTATTTATTGCATGGGTGTGTATAAATTTATTTTCATATTCTAATTAATCATCAAGAAATTACATTTCACTGACATATGGACTTCCATGAAGTGTGCTAGTTCACAGTGGCGACTTGCATGGTGGTCATTACTTTGCTTTGCTGAAACCGGAAAAAGATGGACGATGGTAACATACGAATATCTGGCCTGTTATATTTATTTGACTTTTATTGGTTTGTTGTCGACTCGTATGCCATTATTGGGATTTTTTAGGTTGAAATTTGATGATGACAGAGTTACACCTGTTACCGAGAAAGAAGTATTAGAAGACAATTATGGTGGAGAACACTCTGCCATCAGTCCACCTGCCAACATCAGACCGACAGGGAAGATCGGAAAACGCTTTACGAATGCATATATGTTGGTATATATTCGTGCATCCGCTGTCGATGAGATATTAGCACCTGTGTTAGAGTCTGATATACCTGAACATCTACGTAAGCGTAAACGATTTATACACTGCGTAAGACTGAATGCAATCAATAAACTTATAACGGTACATATTATTTTGTAACGTGGATTTTAGGGAAGAGGCTAGAAGAGGAAAAAGCAGAGTACGAGAAAAGGCGAAAGGAAAAGGATGAGATGCACCTCTATATTACTGTAAAGGTAAATTATTTTAACGTCTATATTACAATCTATAATTGAGCCATAACTTGCGTTGACTATTTAATCCACTTTGGTTAAAAAAAAGGTGATATCAGACGAGTCCTTTAAAAATCATCAGGGATTTGACCTAGCAAACTTTGATGAGCGTCATCCGTCAACCGAAGTAACACACTTGAAAGTACTTAAAACAGAACCCTATCAAGCGTTCAAACAAAAACTTGCCGAGCAGCGTGATATTCCACCCGAAAGAATGCGTTTGTGGGTACTTGTCAATCGACAAAACAAAACCGTCCGTCCGGACACACCGGTACCTGAAACCTATAATAATTTACGTGAGTAACTTATAACGCGGCGTCCCACTTGATCTGTTTATAACGTTTATAACGGAATAAAACATATCTGCTTTAACCCCTTACAGCGATGGGGGACGTTCATACCAAAATGGCATCACGATCAAATGAATTGAAGCTCTATATGGAAATAGCTGACAAGCCAGCAATTGACGGTCGGGTATGTCTGGTCCTTGCTATACAGTGTTACAGGATGATGCATTGAAATATCTAACGTTTCACGTGAACTATCAGTCATGGTTTCCTCCAACCGAAGGAAACGCTCTTATGATGGTGTTTTTGAAATATTTCGATCCGGATTCGCAATCACTAGTGTAAGTGTTGTGGTAGCCAAATATTATTTGACCGATGCTAAACGTAATATTGCGTACCCTTGTTATTTTAGAGGTTTGGGACACCACTACATCCAAAAGTTCGGCAAGGTCGGGGAAATAAGTGCAGTATTGTGCGAGAAGGCAAATTTACCGCCGAATGCTCAACTTAAGATCTATGAGGTAAATAAGTTATCGATGTTCGTTATTTTAATACTACTTGATTCCTCCATTTAAGAGTATATATTCAATTTTGTGCAGGAAATCAAGCCGAATATGATCGAAGAAATGAAGCCTCGAGCTACATTTCAGCAATCTGAGATTCAAGACGGAGACATTATTGTCTTCCAGAAAGTCTTGACGGAGAAAGAGTAAGTTGTAGTCGTCTATAGTGCACGTCCATCTCATTCTCTAAATGATGTATTCTTCTTTTTTCATCAGCATTCAGGATCATGTTATGTCAAGTAGACTTCCCGATATACCACGTTTCTATGAATATTTGGCTTCTCGAGTAGTCGTAATGTTCAAACCAAGATTTCCCGATCGAGATTCGAAGCCTCAATTTGAACTTGTGCTGAATAAAAAGATGGCATATGATACAGTAAGTATTTAATAGGATTATCGTTTGTGGAAAATCTTGGAGCTGTATTTTGCAATAAATATAATTCATGCACTTGAGACTAATACTTTCTTTTGTCTGTTTTAGGTTGCAGCTAATGTTGCTAAAAAGCTTAATACAGACCCATTAATGCTACGGTTTACGACGACGGCATATGCTGGCAATACACCTAAGAATATCATCCGGAGAAGCACCACTCAGAGTCTCCAGGATATGCTTCAGCCAGGCGGATACTTGAATCCTCCATCCAATACTTTGTATTATGAGATGCTGGATGTTAGCATAATTGAACTGGAAACGAAGAGATTCCTGAAAGTAATTTGGCTTGGAACATCTGCAAAGGAAGAGGTACGAATTTTATGTGTGTCCCGGATTCGGTGTCTTTTATCAATCGACGCTGTAAATTTATATCATATTATTATCTTAGTCAACAATCGACGTTCGTCTGCCCAAAACGGCACACGTGAGCGATATATTAGACTATATCTTGGATAAAGTCAAGTTATCAGCAGAAGACAAAAAGATTCGGCTACTCGAAGTGATGAGCTATAAAATTCAAAAAGAATATAATGGAACAGAGTCAATATCAGCAATACAAGATATTATTACTTTATACGCCGAGGTTAGTTTGAAATCCAGCCGTGATGATGCGGATAAGATAATTTGATGGTCGAAGGTAGTCACTAATATTTGGATCTTAAATTTTGCAGGAAATACCTGACGAAGAGTTGAACACGGGCCCTGAGGATAAAGTTGTACATGCATATCACTTTACTAAAGAACCACTTCGTCCACATGGAATTCCATTTAAATTCGTTATTAAATCAGTAAGTTGTCGACATGCTCTTTGTATCCCCACCAAACTACAGGATATTAATCAGGCTGCAAATTACAGGGAGAAGTCTTTTCTGAAACTAAAAAACGCCTTCAAGCACGTATGGGGATGAACGAGAGAGATTTTGCAAAAGTGAAAGTCGCCATTGTGCAACCGATATATCTTAACAAGCCTCATTATGTGGAGTCTGATGGTAATTATTTTGTCTTCTCGAACTAGTTCGTCTTAACCAACAACTCGATAAATTTACATCAATTGTTTCGTTTTCGCAGATCAAATTCTATCTGACATGAAATGGGGACCGGAGGATTTACTAGGACTTGATCATATCGATAAGACGGGACGTGCTGGTAGAACAGGTGCACCAGAAAAAGCCATTTATATTAGAGGATAATATCCGATTATTATATTTTACGCATTATTCTCCTTGTAATATTGTGTTGATTAGTGAGTGATATTGATGAATGGGTTGCAGTAGAAGAGATTTTGTTTATTACCAAAAAGGAGTCGACTGTGGGTTTGGATATTTATGGATCATATCGTTTTACGTGCATTCGTTTTGACGCAGTAATATTCAGTAAGTGATTGGATACGAGATGGATCGAAACGTGATATATAATAGGCACCGTAGTGATGGTCGTGAGAACGTCAGCAGATACATAAAGTAGATTCGATAGAGAAGTATTCGAACGGCATACGCATAATAGAGCGTAGACTTGTGTCTTCTTCCGAGCTGAATATAATACTGAAATTCACCGAAAAATACAGACGGCGTTCTCTAATATTTATATATTAGAAGGTGTTCCGATGCTGACAAATGGTAAATTATCCTGAGTACTACTCCATCTTCACAGCTCTACATGAGATACACTCACTAGAAATTAATGACTGACCACTTATAGTTGATGTGGGTTGTTATGTGACGCATACATCGTGTACTTTAACAGATTCGTTAGGGTAATAAGCAAGTACAGTACAAATTGTTATTCACGATTAACTCTTATTATTATTGCATGTATAACAAAGACTCAACATTATAACAGCTTCTATCGTCCCCCACTTCTGAATGGCCTGAACAGTTGCTATGAGGATCATGATGAAGAACAAGACTCACGTATTATGTGCAAATATATTCACGAAGAAACAATATAACAAAACAAGAAAAATGCTTTCACAGTCTTAATAAAATAAACTGAAAGAAGACACAACGATATGGACGATTTTGACCTTTAATTCTGGGATCGATAATTCTGATAAACTTTCGTGATCGCATCGTACATGATCATCGACTATTTAACGGCAAAATATTAAAGTGAGCTTGTGAAAGCCTGTCTGTATTATTCTGATACTGAACAAAGTCTATTAATAAACGCATCTATAGAATTAAATAATCGTTGCAACCAGTACCAAATTTTTGCTTACCGCTTTTCAGTCGAAAACTACAAGTACAGTCGAACCCCGTTATAACGAAATGCGTTATAACGAATTTTTGTTATACCGAAGCAAGTGTTCCTCCCCCTTTT